GCATGGACGGGAGCTTCTGGAGGACCTGGTCCCAGATGGAGCACACCACGTGTCGCTTCTCCCGGGTGTAGACATCCGCCGTGGACTCCTTGAACCAGTTTCCCAGGTACTGGCGCTGGTCCCTCGGTATGTGCGCCTGGAATGCCAAATCCGGCATGAAAACCCGGAAGGAGTACCATGAGAGTTCAGCCACGTCCTTGGCTGGCGCGCCTTGCTTCCCCAAGGCGTCTTTAAGCCACCTCAGGGACCTGTCTGGGGTTCCTGGGCGGGGGATGAAGCCCGTCCTGTCCTTGTTGATCGTGGGGATCAGGTAGTCCATCTCGCGGAACTCCTCCGAGGCCCTGAATCTCTTCCACCACCGCTCCAAGGGGATCCACCATCTGGCCCCCGAGAAGGAGAACAATGGGGCGATGAGCGGGACCGGGTTCCGTTTGATGGCCACTGCCGACGTGGTCTTCGTTTGCCAGGCCAGCAGCTCCAGGGTGTTGCTCGTGGACTTGACCGTCTGCGGCGAGGTGTGCTGCACGTCGTTGAAGCGCGCACTGCAGGCCAGGTTGAACCTGGCCATCGCCATGATGTACCTGTCCACTGCTTTGGTCAGCTCCGGGACCCGGTTCTCCGGCGGGGCCCCTTCTGCCCCTTGTTCCAGGGCCCAGACAATTGCCCGGGTCGGAACCACCGCCTTGCGTTGTGGCTTGACCTGGGTGTCCACCAGCGTCTCCTGGATGGCTTTCCGCTTCTCCAGGAGTTGTTTGTGTTCGTCAACGTTGAGCATGCCGAGTTTAATGGAGAGCCACTTCAAAGTGCCCCACCACTTCTGGAGCTTCGCCGGAGTGACCTCTAACGTGACCGCCTGGTTCATGAGGTACCGGACGTCGCCAGCCGTCCAGGGGAGGTTCTGGAAGCCGATCTTGCGCATGCCCTCATAGGCCAAGCAGTGTGCCCGGATGGTACGGAATCGGGCATCACCAAAGAGGTGGCCAAACTCCTCCAGCTCCCTGGTCCCCATCACCTGGTGCATGTAGGGGATCTGGTGCCGGAAGGGGACGAAGTATCCCAGGAGGCGTTCCAACCACCTGGCCCTCAGGTGTTGTTCCAACGCTCTCTGAGATGTCGGCAATTGGGTTTTGATCTTCCCTGGTTTCCAATGCCGCCACTTGTTGGCCACTGCCAGGACATCCGGGGCCTCAATCGATCCGGAAAGGATCCACTCTTCGCGGTCCCGGATGGCCTGTTCCATTTCCAGTGGAGAATAGGTGTGCGATTGCCTGGCGCCTGCCGCACGAAACAGAAGTTGTTGCAGGGTCTTAGTAGTGAGCTCCAAATCCGCCTCCTCCAGCGGTTGTGGTTGGGAGCCCAGCATCCTCGTGAGGATCAAGTGGTAGGTGTCCGAGGCCACCAGGACGTGGTTGCCGTCAGGTGCCAGCCCCACGATCCGTGTCCACGGCCGCGGGTCAAAGACCACCGCAGCCGGGTTGGCGACCTTGTCCTTTTTGACCCATTCCAGGCAGCACGCCACGAGGATTTCCCCGTCCGACTGCACTGGTGCAAATCCCAGGTCATGCAAAATCAACTGGAGCGCGGTAGGCGCCCCGAGGAAGGTCGTCCCAAACGGGGAAGGGAGGCGGGGCCTCCACATCATCATGATCCACTCGAGCCGGGGGGTTAGTCCCTAGGTGCAAACCCCAATCAAACAACAGGGGGGGCCCCCCAAAACCCCGGAAAGCCAACCCCGAAACGGAGGGAACGGGGGAAAAAAGGGGGGGGACCCAGGGAGCCGCCCCGAAAAGGGAAAACCAGACAAGAGAGGGGAACCAAGACGCACCCCGGATCAGCCCAAGCCGCGCCAATTTCTCTCGCCTGGTGCAAGTCTGGGCCTGCTCTGTTCCCTGGGGGGGGATATCAGCGCCTTCGGCAGCTGTCCCACCCCCGGGGTGCGCTGCGCATCCGTTCCGGCTGGTCGCGGTCCTGGATGATGTGCCGGAAGATGGCGTTGTCCCGCATCATCACGCGGCCCCCTTCGCGATGTCATCGATGCGCTTGAGCGCAGCAGCCTCCGGATTCCGCAGAATCAGCTCCCAGATGGCATTGGAGACGTGGCCTGTCTGGGTGGTCTGGCTGAATCTGAACCTGGGCACCTTCTGGTCCACGATGGAGACGTCCCGCAACGGGGCCGAGGGCTCCACCCGGCGGTAGTACTCCAGCCGCTCCTTCACCCAGCGGTTGTAGAGGCCCTCCGGCGGCTCGTCCAACACCAGCTGCAAGATGGCCTTGCCGGCCCGGATCTGGAGGAGGCGGGTGCCCCCTCCCCCGGCACGCCAGTACCCCTTACAATACTTGCACATGTAGCCCCCCCGGGTCTCCCCTTTTGTCTTCGGGATGAGTTCCCACGGGGTGACGGAGCTCAGGACCAGGCCACACTCCATGTGCGCCCAGAAGACATGCTTCGTCTCCACCGGATAGTTCTTCTTCCGGTAGTCCTTACCCACCACGCCGTGGACGTTGTCCGCCGTGATGGGGGGGTAAACGATCCCCTCATCGCCCTCACCTCCCCTGGGGCGGATGTCAGGGCCATCGGCACCTGTCCGGCACCCAGGGGCGGAGGGGTCCAGGCCCACCGGGGTGGCGGACGGCTTGTCAGGGCCCTCGGCACCTGAGCTCGTCCCGCCAGAGCCCGAGGCTGAGGAGATGGTGGGCGGCCTGTCAGGGCCCTCGGCACCTGGGCACGCCGCACCAGAGCCCCCCGCCTTTGGCATGGGGACCCCTTCCAGGTCCGGCAGATCTGCCAGGAGGGCCGCCGGGAAGGGATTCCTACCCAGCGAGATGACCGCCTTGGCCTCAAGGTAGGAGTCCGTGAGGGATGTGAGGTCGTCCATGCTGAAGTCCCTCCATGCCGTTGTCGGCTCGAAGACCCCAGTTTCAATGGCGACACGGACCTGACTAGGCCAAGCACTGAAGGGAGGCGCTATGGGCGCGAGCAGCCTGGTTTCGAGGGAGCCCTTCGCCTGTCTGGCTTGGTGTTTCGCTTTCGCCGCCTCCGCAGTGGTCTGGGCCTGGAGGAGCTCCGGTGTGGGTCTCCCCCAGTCCGCACCCAGCTTGTCCAATAGCTTCTCACGGAAGAGGTCCAAGTCCAGGTTCTTCAGAGCTGGCCTCCATCACCTCCTCCGTCAAAGGCAAGAAACGTGTGATCCGGCGCCTTGCACGCACTTCAAAAGAGAGACCCGGGAAAAGGCCCCGGGGGGCCCCAAGTCCTCTTCCCGGGTCTCTCTTTCACTCAATGCATGCGGCAGATCGCTTCTTGGACGGGTCCGGGGTCTTTTCGCGAAGCCGGACGTTGGAGGCCCACATCCACTCCGGAAAGTGAAACCCGGGCGGCGCAGGCTCGAACGTTTGCAGTGCTTTGATGGACTCGCAGCACTGAAACTGAAAGGCATCTGTCGTGGACATGTCGCTCAGGTGCTTCGCCAGCGCCAGACCCTCCAGTGTCTCTGCCCCATAGCGCTTGATCAATCGGGTGCCCGCCCTCCGGTAGGACAGCCAGGCCAGGCGCAGCTCGCGGCTGTATAGCTCGAAAGCCGCTGTGGAGCACGTGTCCGTGTTCAAGCTAGCTTCTCGCCCCGCAGCCAGGTTCAAGAACTTGCGGGCCCCAGGCCCAGTCAGGGACCACTGGGAGTCCTCTTTGAGGAGCACCTTGGGGACGCGGGCACGGGTGTAGATGCGAAAGATGTTCTTGGCGCACAGGGCGCCGACACTTTGCAGACCCTTCGCCAGAAACTCCTTCAGCACATCTCGCTTGTTGCGTGTGCATCCGGCCTGGTCTCGCAGGGGTAGTTGTCCAGCATACGCTGAAACGAAGAAGTTCTGTTCGCGCAGCCAGTCTTTGGCTTCCTCCACGTTCTTTTTCTGCAAAATGTGCTGCTTCACCCGCCCCCAAATGCTGAAGCTCGGGAACAACGCGCTTGGCGCCTCCGACTTGGCCACCAGCACTTCTGCCGCGCCCCGCAGCGTCCTTGCCTTGAGGACGTCGCTTAAGTTATCCTGAACCACCTGCGCAGCTGAAAAGCTGCAAAAGATACCCAGCAGGACGGAAATGGAAAATCGGGATCTTTTTGGCACCTGCTGAAGTATTGCATCCTGGAGCAGGGATGTACGATCTGATGCCTCGTAGTTCCACTGGTGGCTTCTCGCCATGGACAGCATGCTAACGCCCGTCCACATGAACTGGCAGCTGTCCAGCCGGAGCGCCGTTCGAGTCTCGTACTCGCTCCTGCATGTCACGCCAGCTCGGATGGTCCATAGCATGAAGAAATGCTCCCAAACCGCTTCCATTTGGGCACGCACTGGCCTCAGGTCTGGCCTGGGGTTGGCGTACCTTCGATTTGGCACATCAGCCATGGCCCAGCGCTGCCAGTATAACTATTTCAAATCACAAGACCAAATGTCAAAAGGTCCACTTGAGCCAAAAAGGTGGCCCAAGTGGATACTTATTAAGAGTCAAGACAAGCGACCACCTACGGTTAACGCTTTAGCCCAGTAGATGGAAACCAAAAGGGCGCCTTCGAATTGTTTGGGGTCCCCTATCCTTCCTCATGCCTCAGGTCGCAAACCGAATCCCGCTTGGCCAATCGATCTCCCTTGAACAGGTTTTCCGTTTCCAAGGCTCCCTTTGCAAAAGCAAGGCCTTGTTGCATGTGCACTTCCATTTTTGTTTGACACCGTTTTTTGGTGAGGCTACCATTGCGCTTGCAAAAAAAAGGGATGGGAAGCTGCCAGGGGTTCCAAATCCCATTTGCCACAACCGACTTATATACAGAGAAGCAACGGGTCCCTAAGCCCAAAGACGTCGAATGTCTACCTTCCTATGTTTGGTCCAAGGCAGCAATGACAAGCAACCATGTTTGGTGGGCATTCGTCCCCTTCACCTTTCAAATGTCACAAATCCCTGAGCTGATGACCTGGCGCCTCCCACTCACTTCGTTCCAGGTGATCTGCATTGGCGCCTCCTTGGCAAAGAGGGCGTTCACCACCATGAAGGCATGCAGCAGCGAGGGCCTCGACATCCCGCCGGGGAGGGAAGTGGGGGAGGTCCCAATTCCCTGTCTCTCTCCCAAAAGGGAAAAGGAGGCACGCATGCAATTCCAAGAATGAGTCACCCACCCACCCCCACCCCCCAATAATGCTTACCCCGGATTAATAAACCCCTGGTTGATTCATAGGGGGTGTCCCCTTTCAGTGGGGATTCATCACCGTTACCCCCCTAATAATGGGACGGGTTTGTTAATCCTTGGTCAACATTACCTAGCCTTCCTACGCAAGGAATGGCCTCGACGCGTGCAGCAGCGGGCTGAAGTGGTGGAAGACCACCCGCTGCGGCAACGCCAGCACCCGCACGAACAAACTCAGGCGCTCTGCGATGAAGATCTTGGTCCAGGAGGAGGACCTTAGGCAGATGTGGGTTTTCAGGGTACCCTCCGTTGGGTTTCAGAACCCAAAAAAGAAAACCACATCGTTTGTACACTCAGTTGAGTCACAGATAAAACATGGTATGAGAGAGAGGGCTGCCGTTCAAGCCAAGCATTGACCTGATCCGGCCCAGAAGAACGTCACCGTCACACAGGAAACAAGCAGCGGCAACAGTTCCCAAAGCTCTCTGCTTGCTGACACTTGGGGGGGGAACTTTGAGCAGGCTCGAATATATGATTCTCCTAGAGTCTTGGCGGCCAAGTTGCCAGAGAATCAGATGCGTCTGATTTTGCCGAGTGAACGTAGAGCATTCTTTCCCTTTTCATGTTACATCGTGCACAAGGTCGGAAAATGTATATGTAGTAGGTATGTGTATAAATAGGAGAGCCTCCCCCCCCCCCCAAAAAAAAAAGGAAGAGGTGGTGTCCCTTTGGTTTCCCTTGAAACCAACCCCGAAAATCGTACCCTCAAAAAACACAATTGTGTAGTAATAGTATTCCATTTGATTACGCGCAAAAGACATCACCAGTGTGAAACCGAGAAGCAAAGGCTTACAGGGGCAAGATCCAACACCCTGCTTTCCTGAAACAAAATCATGAATCATAGATCCAAGGTTTTGACCAGCAATTTTGAGTCGGAAACATACAAGCGAAGTGTCATCCTCCGCCTGGCTCCAAAGATGGGGGTTGCTCAATACGCCTGGTCCCCCACTGACCATGGGTTGCTTTTCCCATTGAGTTGGGGCATGTCACCTTTTTAGTGGCTTTCCAACCAATGGTCATCCCTGACTTGTTTGTTTCTGGGGCCTTCTCCTTCTTTCCCCTCCCAATAAATGGCTGCCTCCCGCTCGGAGCTTCGAAGCGGAGCGGCGTGGGCATGGCATCCAAGACCAAGCCGATGCTGCGGGTCATGGTCCGCACCAATTTCCTGGCAGACCGCTCCGGGGCACTGCTCTCCTTTTCTGAGTCACAGGACTTCCTACCACTATCCATCAGCCCAGGGTCCACCAAAACAAAGTCATGGTGTACTGAAGAAAGCGTCCCCAAGTAAAGCTAATGAGGTTTGGCTCACTTTCTGGAGATGGATCTTACCTAAAAGAAGCAAACTCGAGCCGGGAAGCAGGGGTCCAAGTGATTTGCGAGAGACAAATCAAACCCGAGAAGGCACAGTTAGGGGGTGAAGGCGGACTCCTCGTCAATCTCTTTGTGCATGCTCAGTCAGCTTGTTTTGACCGTTTCAAGCGGGTCCGGAACCCAAACAAAAAAATCGCTCCAGAGATCTGCCGTGAAAGCCGGCTCGACCTCGAAACTGGGTCCTGGGCAACCGGGGGGGCGTCTGCTCCGCCGCCAGGTCGAAGGCAAACTCGGGCCCCCCGTGGCAGTTCCTGCCGGCCCGTCGCGCGGGTGGGAGGGTATACCGCCAGGACGTCGGTAGCCTTGAGACTGTCGGATAATGGCGACCAAAAGGAAACCACGCATTTTCTGTCGGAGGAATCTCTTTCAAAATGGGCAGGGGCAATTGATGAATTGGGCCGGGAGGGGGGGAATGAGGGGATGTTTCCGTTTTGGAGGAAGCACTCCTCTAATTGAACTGGGATGAGGGATGAGCCTGGCACCCCTCAAGCCCGTCAAGGCGCTGAGACTACTGAGGCCTTGGTCGGCCTGCCTCGCCCTCTCGTTCCCAGCTCTGAGATCCTATTAGGCAGAGCGCGCCGAACGCTACTTGGTGTTGGGGATGAGTTCTGTCCCTTCTGAGAACGTGTCCTGGAATTTGGAGCTTTCTGGCTTCCAGCATTTCGGTGAAGGGGCAGAATTTTCGCCCTGGCCCTTGGGGAGGCGCCTGAAGAATCTCGTTTGCTCCTCTGCACTCATACTCGCTGCTGTGCTGTCTTTGTATGTACGTGGCGTGCAATTAAAGAATCTTGGGGAGCCCTTTCAATTGGAATGTGTTCAAGAGGCTTGCAACTGAGTCCGTTGGCTCCAATGTCTCTAGTCCAGACAGCACTTTGGAAGCAATCACGGCGTTCAACACCATCACTTTCCAGGTCTTGTTGCAGTTCGTGTTCATCAGAACAACTCAACTTGTTGCAGATCCAAGTTCCTTGCAAGACCGCACTGTTCAAGGGTACCGAGCACATAAAGATTCAGGTCATGGTCTCCTTGCATATTCAAAAGTCCTCATACTTGTTTTGAGGGGAAAGGATTGCCCATACCTCCAGAAGGAATGTGTCTTCAGTCTTGTCGTGTTGGTCAATGTAGTTCTCAAAAAGACATGTATCAAAATGGAGGACACCCCAAACTAAGCGGCTTTACAACGACGCCAACAGCAGCACCAACTCTCAAACAGGAAGCACACCCCATGCTCCCGTGGCCCACACTTTTGACGTGTTTCAAGGGAACCGTTTCCGGGCTCCTCGGGATATGGAAGCGGAACACCGCTTCGCTGCGCGCGGGTGGAGCCACCCACGCCGCCTGGATCGACTCGGCAGAAGTGATTGCGGAATGGAGGTCAGCTGAGTCGCAATCAAAACCCGGTATTAAAACGATCGACCCAGAACCTCATATAAAGAATTAGGAAGGCGGCCATGGCGGCCGCAGCTATTTATGGTTGGGATTGTCCCTTACTAACCTTCATCTACCCGGGTTTTGATTGTGGCTCAGTTGCTGGTATGGGTTTGTCGCCAGGTACAACCATGGTTGGTTCCCCTTGAAACAGGACCAAATCGCTCAAACAAGACGCCGGTTTAGGATACAAAGGCATGGTCGTGATTTAGGTTGCATGGCACAGGGAGGCCACCGTAGGCCCTTGATACGGATCCTCAGTTTTGTCTACGGGGCCTGGTGTTGGTCCCCACAAATCCCCATCAACCAGGTACCTCAGTGCAAGGCACAGCCAAAATCGTGGTACATGGTCGGCACGGGCCGTTAACCTTTGCCCGCCCCACAAGCCTGCAAATTTCCTAACCTTCCAACCTCCCCCCAACCTCCTCCTAACCGCCCCATCCCCTTGACTTCGGCAGTCTCCCCCACCTCCCCACCTCCCCGCCCAACCTCCCCACCTGCCCCCACCTCCCCCAACCTGCCCCCTTCCCAACCTCCCCATCCGCCTCTGGGCTGGCGGGGATCCCCCCGCCGTTCCGTGGGGTCAGCCCGGGCGGCGTCCCCGGGCGCGAGCTGCCGGGGGTGGCCAGGGGCGTAAAATCCAGCTCCTGGCGTTCCTCCGGCTGGTGCCGCAACGCCTCCTGCACCAACCTGAAGTCTGGCATTCATGGCGGATACTTTGCTTATATATATATATATGTATATATGTATATGTATAGTAGCTTAGTAGATTGTTCAAGGGTGAGGATGGTGTAAAGTTGGTATTGGTTGGGTTGTGTGATTTTGTCCGAGGGTGAATCCCTCTTTGAGCTTTCAATTGAAACCAAAAGGAATCCCCTTGGACGGTATGAAGCAGGAACCAAAGAATAGGGTGAGCCCGCGAAAAAGGGCCTTGCAATCGTAATCGGAGAGTAAAAAGGGGTATCCTGACAAAAAGGAGGGATGTCTTTTGCGGGTACCCTTCCTGAGGATGGCTTCAAAGGGAAGCCACCCATGTTTGGGGTCCGCACTAATGGGTCCTCTACAAGAAATTGGGGCAGAAGTTGGCGGGGTTGTGATGGGAAAAAAACTAATAAAAGGAAACCGCCCATTTTGCGGGTTCACCACCATTTCGAGACAAGGCAACCAGAAACGAAACAAATCTGGCTGCGACAGCAGTTGTCCATGCGGCCCGGGACAAACATCAGTAAGAAAGCACAGTCCCACTGACAAACATCCAAGGCGTAGCTGCAAGAGCACCAGTCATGACAGGCACGGGCTTCCAGACTCCCGGCTCGCCGGTGCAAACTTCCCCGCTTGTTACCTGACCTACGTGGATGGACAATAAATCCACCCTGGTTTCTGATTCGATTCCCCAACGTAAATACCAACCAACGTTATGGTTTCGGCCATGGTTTCAAAGTGGTGCGAAATGGGTTTCGCTTTTCCATCCACAGTCGAGAACCCACGTGCCGGGAATGTTTCGCCATACCTGCGCCATCCAACGTACCAAGGAGCTGCTCGGTAAAGTGCTGGATCGTGGTGAAAAAGAGGCGCGCATAACTCTCCTGGATGTGCAGCAGCTCATCATTCACCTCGAGCAGGGGTCCTCATCGTTTCCCCTTTTGGGCGGGTGAAACGTTACCTGGGCTAAGGTTAAGTTTCTCGTTGGTGGGGTGAGAAGTTTCAAGGCAGCAATACCTGAAATGCCAATTGGGAAACAAGTCTGGCGAAACCCCTCGATGACTGCTGGCCGGCCGGCAAGTTCATGCGGTCACCAAGCCATGTTCGCATGAGAAGCTGGGAAATCCAACTGGCCCATTGAGTACTTCACATCATTCCCTGACACAAACAAAAAAGAACATTATTGCTGCTTAAAATGAGTTTTGGCAAAGGCTCAACTAGTCAGACACACGGAGACACACAGACACACACAAACACACAGAAACACACAGAAACACGCAGCAACACACAGAAACACACAGAAACACACAGCAACACACAGCAACACACAGAAACACACAGAGACAGACTGAGAGACCGACAGAAACGAAACAGACACAGAAAGACACAGAAACACAAAGAAACACACAGAGACCACGCAGAAAGTGACCCCCCCTCCCGCGGGAGATCCCACAAGCACAGGCTATGTGCATTCGAGCAGGTTGCCACATTCGGCAACACAAAGTCTTGAAAATGCCTCTGAGAAGCTGATGGCAGTTTTGGATCAAGCCAAGGTGGACATTCACAACTTTTTCTGGGAGGGGTTGGCTCTCAATGGTCAAGAGCCTAGCTATTCCCGCCACCTCCCACGGCCTCGATTTTGGCAGTTTCGAACCATGGCCACCACCGCTTGTCCAATCGCACTATCTTGGGGGGAAGGAATTATTCTTAGCTCACCACGAACCAGTGAACTCGCACACTCTCCCTCACAACCCTCACATCCCTCACGTCCCTCTTCAGTCTCACGCCCATTTCCAAGCCCCCCTTCCCCTGTGCAGTCAGGGTACCAAGCGGCCCAAGGTGTTGGCGCCCACTGAGCTGATGGTGCTAGTGGCCGTCATTCCCTGAGCCCAAATGGGCGGAACCTGCCAAAAAAACGCGAAAGCTCGTGTGTCAAACAAGCAAAAACTCAGTTGTGGCGATTCCAAACTGCACATCTGGTCCCTGAAGCGGTCCTTCCCCGAGCAATTAGCACGATATTTCAGGACGATTTTGCTGGAAAGCTTCCGCGCAGTCCCAGACTCGCATCCAAACCATGTGCAAGCCTCTTTCTTGGATGTCTTGCCAAAACATATCTGGAGGGAAGAGCCTTAATTTTGAACTTCAGATACATCCGGAGGATCAGCAATCAGAGGCATCCCTCTGAAACAAATCAGGTCCCCACCAAAAGGGGCACCACCGGGAAGGTATGGGCCTCCAGAATAATGCACAGTTTACACAAGAGGATCTGAGTTTCGAGTTGTGTTGCGGACGTGAGTCAGGGGCACACCTTGTGTGGAGAAGGAAACCATTGACGAAACCAGAAATGGCATGTGAGGAAAGGTCCACATGGGCGTAGAACAATCCAGCCACCCAGAATGGCCCACAGGCAGAAGATTCATGTTCCATCCCCATGTGTTTCCTCTATGCATTCCAAAATCAATTACCAGGGCAAAAAATCAAAGACCATGAGCCCCTACACCATTAGTCATGATGGAACCCGGGTTTCATGATGCACGCGCGCTTTACAAGGCTTGATTGAACCACAGACCGATTTTCGGGGAATCCCCTTTGGGGTCCCAAAAGAAAGCAACTGTTTTGGGGGTTCCCTAATTTTGAGACAACCCCATTTCAGACCAGGCATGCCTGAGCCACCCTCCCCTCCCGAAGCCTGCCAGTCCTCTCCCAGCAAGGGGAACAGGAGCCCTGGCAGACTGATTCGACAAAGGTGGCTACCCGGCAAAAAATGCTCAAGGGCAACCCGGGTTTAAACTTCGGGTTCCACCGACAAGCTACGTTTCCATTTACCAATTGGGCAACCCATTTTTCAGGGGTTCCGTATTGTTGACAACCGCGGCCACACTTATCTTTTTAGAGCGCTTCTTGCTCTCGAGTGTTTTCTGTGTGCCTGGGTGCCAGCTCTCCAGCTCATGCAGACACTCGCAAGCATAGGCCCGCAAGATCCGGTCCGCAGACTTGTTGGTGTGCTTCGCCTGAGTCGCTGGGCGCATCCACATGTATGTGTGTAAATATATATATATATATATATATATATATATATATATTTGTATATTGGTACAACATGGTACAACACACATTGCCAAATTTCGTGGGGCGGACAAGCTCGTTGGAGTTCGTCGGCGGGAGATCACCACACCCCCCGGCGTTTGACCAGGAACTTGATCTTTGCATTGTGGCTCAAGTCACTCATGAGCTTATTCGCAAACTGACAAGTTCGGCCTTCTACATAGACCTCATCTTAGCACTATTGGATCCGTCTTTGGGCGTCTCCCAGATCTTGGCCTTGAATGACACCACCGTCATCCGTGACGCAGAGCCATCATCTGCCGCGGAAGGGGGGGGGGTGTTTGAGGATGTCTTGCGCGCAATGTGCGCCAATCAAGACGCCAATGGGTAGGTATGGTTGAGTGTCGCATTTTCGCGCCTTATCCTGACACTCTGTTTTTGCGGACACATTGCAACCCCCTGACCCGCGCCACCCTGAAAATCTAAATAGTTGGAGACTGCTAGCATGTGCAAAACCGGGCCCATAAAAGCAAACCAAGCAACCACATGTTCCCTGGCCACACCCTCCCTTGCCAGCGTGACTGATCTTCTGCGTCCTTTGAGTCATACGTCCTCCTCCCAGCGAATAGTTTGCAAGTCCCAGATTCATGGCTTATGTTGTCAAACTGCTGCCCGTTTTGGTATGGGCATTTAGTCCAATGTTCAGGTTAGATTCGATTAATTTGGACTGATGGTTTCATCCAATCAAGGCACACCCAGAACGACTGGCACTTAGTGTTGCCACTTGGCAAGAAGAAGTCACGTAAATGAACCACAATGGGCGGCGCCGGCGCCCCGGCGTCCGCTTTTCGCGACGCTGGCGCGGGGAGAGGCGCGGTTCATTTAAAGCTCACAAATTTAAACGCACCACGACGGGGTTGCTTAGGAGTGTTGGTGGGACACAAAGAAGGTAAGTGAACTATCACAGTGTTGCTGATGACGCCGGGAGTGTCGCCAAGTCATCGTCCAGACAGCAGTCTCCCAAAGTTACAAAAACGATCGGCAATGGGGGCCATGTCCATGACATGATGCAACAATTGCGGCCAACTGCAAAATGCTGAATGCGCCATGATGGCACCACGCGCCTTCAGTTTAATTGTCAACCGAACACTGAAAACCATCGCTTTTTTCGACAAGGGGGCTTTCGAAGAGAACTTCACGGAGACCCTCCATAATGAGAACCTCTCACGCAAGGCTTGGGTTTGTCTGATTTCTACAGAGTTTAAGTTTGGTGTTGATTTAGTTTGGGCCGCTCCTTCTGCTCTGCTGCTCTCTGCAGAGCCCACTCCTCAGGCGCCTTCGCAACCCAAGCAGAAACACATGAAAAGGACTTTGTGGACCCACACAGACGTCGAATAACGTTACGCCCTGAGTTTGTATGAGTTGTCGGGCCCTCCAGCGGCGGCTAAATCGACTCTCCAAAACATGCGCAACGCTGAGCTTGCGCAGGTGCGCAGGCCAGGCCAGCGCAGGCAGCAAGTCGGTTAACGCTTCAATCACTTGCCAGTGAGTAAACCCCGTGGTCAGGGAAATGCAGCGCTGACATGATTTGATGTCAGTTCTCAACACGTCTCGCATCTCATTATTGAGTCATTGGACAACACAGCGCGTTGTCTTATTCATTGACACTTCGAGGCATCCATGTCTTCACCGCGCAACAGATCCTGAGCTGAGTCCAACAATCACCTTGCTTGTGGTGAGCTTGCTTGGCTGAGTCCGCCAAGGCGACATCCTCAAGAAGGCTAAATGATGGGTTGGTTGAAAATGTGTGCGCTGGTGGCCAAGTCTCGAAATCTTGCTCAGCACTCATTTTTCCATCGGACCAACCGCGTCCTAGGTTCATCCCACATTGGCAGCAGTGATCACAAGAGATGCCAGCCGCCCGAACTCTACTTTCAAGTTGTCTCGATGCCCACGACCTGCGCGGATGTTCATAAACAACTACAACCCTTCCCGGCCCTTCCCTGTCTGAAGCTTGAAGGCTCAACATGTTGTTTGACGGTCCACTTTGCCCGCCGGCACAACAGTCAACCCATCAGACGTGGTCTGTTTGCAATTCCGGCCTCACGGCCTCTGCCGACATGGCCAGCGCTAGGGAGAGGCGCTGTGACAGCCATGTAACCGAGTGAAAGCACATAAGTCATCATATGCACCTTTTCAATTGGCTTTGTCTTGCTCTTCTTATGTTGGTGGGTTGCCTCATGCAACAGGCTGAAATTCATGGATCTGACCTGAATCTGGGTTCCTATAATGGCCCAAAGCTTGATGAAACAACTACGTGTAAATTCATGTGATCTGATGAGTGTGCAGCCTTGAGACTTGACCAAACCAGCTGTGCTGAAACGCGTGCGACCCACCACCTTCAGATTCAACCCAAGTGCATGTGTCTCATTCGCACCACGCTTCAAAAAGTGAGTCCCAAAACTGCCTGGAAGTGACTATCTCGCGAAATTTGGCAGTATACATATTCAATCTATGCATACATATATATATATATAGAGAGAGAGAGAGATAGATAAATATGATATATATATATATATGTATAAGTCAGCCCTTGGGTAGCCCATGGGTGGCCCAGAGGCTGTTCCTTGTGGTGTCCCAATTCAGCTTCCCTCCGTTTGGTGGCTTGGATTGTTCAAATCCCCAAACCGCCAATCCAAACAAGCATAAGGGTTACCTGGTGTACTCGCAAAACACACACACACACACACATGGGTTTTGAAAGTGGGTCTAGTTGGACCCTGCCTAGTTGGAGCACGTGAAACGGGCCCCCGGACCTTGGGGTGTGTGGTGAGGGCTCGGTACCCTGTTCACCTTGGGAAGCCGGGATATCTAACTTTGTCACAAGCCCAAAAGCCAAGGAGAGCCAAGGAGAGCCGAGCAGGTTGGGCCAAACCCTTGTCTACGTCTAAACTTATTGTTGAAACAATCTTTACCGGGGACCAGGGCTGGGTGGTTCAGATTTTGCCCCCTGCCAAGGAGCCAAGTCAGAGATGTCTTCGTTGTTCCGTTCAACAAAAAACTGGCGTGGCGCCAACCATGCCCAGCCAAACCCCTCTGAACATGAGCCGAGATTGGGAAGGCGTCAACGACATTGCCTTTTTCTTAAGACAAAGATTGCAATGATAAGAACCAGATCGAACCAGTGGAATCCCGCTATGCCTCACGTAGCGGATTGTCTCAAAATAGCTGCATCCTCAACATAGAGTCCCTTGTAAGCGGCTATGAAGAATCCATTGAAATGATATCAAGATTGAATTGCCTCTAAACTGCTTGGCTTGAATGGAAGTTACACCCCACACCTATCTTAATCTCGGTGGACACCTCCGGAAAACCTGCGGGTTTCTTGCAAAGGTCGGGACGATGGAGCAAAACCACTGTCTGGCGGATTAGCTTCAGCACCCGACCCTGGAAGCGAGTTGAGGCCCAACACCAGCTTGTAGAAAGACACACCCAACATCCGCCTTCTGTTTTGCTGGGTCCTTTCATTTGGAGCCACCCCGACTTTCCACATCTCGCCTTTCTTTTGGCCCAAGAAGAACTTCCCCCCCCCCTTTCCCGGCCCGCGTCTGGAGCGCGCGCGCGCGCGCTCGCGCGCGGGTGGTGCGGGTGGCCGTTGCGCCCAACCGGAGGAATCCGAGGGGCGATGGAGTAGAGCAGGTCCACGAAGCCCTCGAAGCGCGCGACGTCCGTCTCGAAGGTGTTGAACTGGATCAGCAGCGCCGTGTAGGTCACCAGCACCTCCCCCGAAGCACCGAAGCACCGAAGGAAAAGAAATGAACGCGGCCCGTGGTTGGCCAAATGGGTATGGGTCGAAATTGAACCAATTGGACCGCAAGTTTTGGTCCATGTTTCCACTTACCAGGGTTCCATTTGGAGTACCTATTTTTGACCCATGCCCAAATAAGCCGCGCAGAAGGTGCGGATAAGCACAATGGAGTATTCGATGTGTATACAGTCTCTGTCACCTTTGTGTAATTGTGCAATGGCGTCTATGTGGTAATATACCCCACGCTTGCAGCCAAACACCTCCCAACATATGGGAAAGATTCAGGGGAAAGTTTCGGGTGCCAATGCTATGGGAGGAATAGACATCATGCCGCTAAAAACAGCACATAGATGCGGCGACCTGAAAGCCAACAACTTCCCAAAGGGATAAGAACTGCCACGTGTTTGCAGTTTGCACGCAGGTAAAGCCTGTTGCTCCGCTTGCGCAATTGCGGAGCGGCTCCATGTCGCTAGTTCTGCGCAAACATGTACGTTAAACAAAAAACAAACAGAACAAAAACACAAGACAAGAAGAAGAAAAAAACGCGCCTGCGACTTCAAGGAGTAGGTCATGCCCTGCCCGTCTACTGGCGAGCCGAGGATGTTCTCGAGCACAAAGTAAACCTTGTGCAAGCGCTGCTCGTCGAAGATGAGGCTTTTCCCATGCTCCTCGAGAAAGACCAAGGCGGAGGTTCGTTCCACCTCATCCTCCAGGGCCCCTTTGTCGGCGCGTCGAAGTTTGTAAAAGGGGTCCGTGTCACATCCATGATGCATGAACCCCTAGTTCATTGTCCTAAGTAATCCTTCATGGCAGAACTATGCCGACCTGTCTTCCCGATTCTTCCCGCACCCTTCCCGTGTTGCAGCCTTCCAATAGCCTTCCTCTATTCTTCCCGTAGTCCCACAGCCTTCAAGCTTTCAAGCTCATAATCGAAAACACATGTGCATAAAACATATAGGAAAAGGAGGACCAAGAGAAGACTGGGAAAGAGTGCCGAAGAAAGCTAGGATAAACAAGGCGAGAGACACGCGACAAGAGCAAAGTTGATAGATCTTGCTGTTCTGCTTGCTGTAAACAACTACCGTAATGCTGCTAAGACATGTGGTTTCAAATTGGGAACGCTCACGGAAGCAAATTTGCTGCTTGATTGGCTATCGGTAAGGGTACCGGTGAGGTCGGCTTGAATCTTAGGCAATCAGATCCACTACAAGGATGATTTACCCGTAAACGCCCAAGGCTAGCAGATGCCTGCCGGCACTGTGCACGAAGAAGGCACGCTCGCACCCCTGAGCCCCCCCCCCCCCTTCTTCGGCTGGGCCTTCTCGGTGAGCACGGTCAGGAGCAAGATGTCCAGCATCTGGAACTCCGACATCGATTCCGCGGGGCTGCGGCCGTTGACCACATACTTGAGGGCCTCGCCCGTGACGTGGCACCGGGGCTGGAGGAGTGATCGTTATACACAGGCCCGCGACAAAGAGTGGGAGATATAAGAAATGAAATGCCGGGTGACGTTCAGATCTCTATGTCAATGTCAGACTATGTTTGTAATTGCAGACTCAAAAAAGGCCACACCTCAAGTGTTTTCCTGGGTTGGGCTTGCAAAAGGTCGACCACCTTCGCAGCAGTGTTGCTATCCACTGGCCGGCCGTCTGGCGCAAGGTGCCTTCTCGCTGGACTCGTCATTCCAGCTGAAGGCATATCGCAGCATCTCATAGGTCCAGTCCGACATCGTGCCCACAGCTCCATGCTACGAGTGGAGTCCTAGCAAGGTGTGCGAGAACTTCGGGTAGCACATGCGAGGCGCCTTGGCACTTCCAATTTGAGCACCAAAGGATATCAGGAGTTGTCGTAGGCAATCTTACACTTGCACACCCAGCGACTGCTCTTGCAAGAACCAAAAACCACGCTTGGCTAAGGCGCAAAAGAAACCTGACACAGCATGCGCAAGTCTCCACAGCAAAGCCAAGTTTGTGGCGCTCACGACTCAAACCAGATGAAACCAAAAGTCAACAAAAAGCTTGCCTTGTCGGTAGTCGAAAACCGAGCACAAACTTCTGCACGCGACTTGGCTTTCTCTCTGTGAAGCAAAAAAAAACGCTCATTGAGGCAACCGGTTTCGCCTGCTTCGGTCGTTTTTGCAAGCAGGATGTTTCATGCGGCCACAGATATGACGTCTCAGACTTTGAATCTCTGTAAACTCTTGGCAATCGTCCGTTTTATGCTTCAAGACCTTAATTGCAAGTACTGAATGGGCCAATGGGCCGTCAAAGTGCAAATAGAGATAGCATTGGCAGTCGAGCTTAGGCGTTGGAGCAGACATGCGCTTCAGCCACAACCAGGCTTTGTGGCTTTGTGGTGGACATGCCGTTGCCAGCAGACGCAATGTTGGAAGACAGGCGCATGTTGCCGAATTTGCGCGGGCTTTGGTTGGCAAATGAAATGGACCTGTTGCCTCTCGGGCAAATGCATTTTGAACCAAGGCTTTAGCTCGGTCTGGTTCCTGATCTGCGTGGCTGATGAGCCATCTGCGAGCTCTCATGAGAGCACAGCACCCCTGGGCACAACAGAAAATGAAGAGGATTCGCCACGCACAAAGTGGGGATGCTGTGGTCGTCGCCAGTACGCGCTTCAACCTCATCTGCATTCGACTGGCAAATGGGTCTGGGGATCTTCGTTTGCTTTGCTTTCCACAAGATTTCGGGCTGTTGGAGCAAAGAAGTTTCAGACGAGATGCAGCGATTGTTGCCACGTCACATGCAGGAAGCTTATCACAGGCTGCCTGCGTCTTTGAAGCGCAATGCCAAGAGCGATTGGAAAATACAGAAGCTGAGTCTACCTTCCAGAACGAGGAAGAAAGTAGGCACTGCGATTGAACCCTCATTGCTGTTTGTATTTTGTGTTCTTTTCTCACCGGGTGCTTGATTTCTGCCATGTCCTGCAAAGCAAACAGACATGTGAAACACGAAAGCCGCAGTGGGATCGCCTGTAATAGCCTGCGAAGCCACTGCCAGCAAACTGTCTAAATACCACGGACCAATTAGCCAGTAATCTTGCAGGGTTGTCGAACCAATCGAAGTAGCAATATGAAGCAGATGGACGCGAATGCCCTACCGGAAAGGGTCTGCATGTCCAGTGGACTGCGTGACAGCTCCAATTGCTGATTGTGCTACGAGTAATTACTCAACAACGAATGTTAACATCGCCCCCCCCCCAAAGCCAACAAGAAGGGAAAGCCGGAAAAGCGCGAAGGGTGTTGGAAGCAGAGACATTTGCGAGTTTCCCGGTAAACACCCCCCCCTCGTTGACGCATCGTGCTGCTTTCCTGGAGTTTCTTGGGGGCACTCGATGTTCACTTGGCTTGGAGTCGGCCAGCCGGCCAGATCCCCCAACACGCTACCAAATTGCGCCGAGCAAGCGTGCTGCATTACAACGCGCTCGGCAATCGCTCAAAGCTTTGCTCAGGGCCCTTCAGGACTGAACCGCCAACCTGCCAGCAGAGCACCCGGAAATCTCATTCCCTCTGAGCACCACGGTCAATCAATAGCTAGTCACATAGCGTTGGTACAACTTTCTGAAAGTCACTGGGGCAGCCCATGCTTTTGCGCAAGACCGGCCAATTGGAAGTCACATAAACACCACTCTGAAGGATGCCTTGCTATCGCCATCCATCATCAAGCAAACCCAACACATCTGATGTGTCAGTGGCTGCCTACTTGACCTTCTCGAGGACAAGAAGTGGCTGCCAGCGGACAAAACACATCACGACTTGTCTTGACAACGAAAGTGGTGCATAGGCTAGTGGTCGGCTTGGTGTTGTTCCACGATGTTCTATCATTTGAACATGGCGTCAGACCAAAGTGGGCCTGATGAGGTGCTCCATGAACACTTTCAGAGACACATCGTCAGTGATGACCACCTGAGCGCAGAGCTTCCCGGCGGCGCCTGAGATTGCCAAAAACGGAATCCCACGTGTATCAAGACCCTTGGCCCAGGCCAAATTTGGGCGCACCAGACTTTGAACCTGGCGGCCCAACGGGCGTCGCATGGGCAGCGCGCCGTGCTTTGCTTTGGACGGCGGTGTCTCGTGAGGTCGCAGCCCTCAAGCCCGGCTACTTCCAGATCCGTTTTTGGGCAGTCCCCCATCGTCTTCTGGTTGTTTTCTTGTTTCTTGTTTCTTTTCTTTGTGGGGGACCGGTGTTTTCCATCTTGGCCCAGGCACACCAGTCAAACAAAAACAAAAGAAACAAGTCTCCGCTGAGGCCGGGGCGGAGGAGTCTGATTGCCCCTGGTACGGGGCGCCTGCCCCACCAGAGTTGTGCGTCTGGGATGGATTCACCTGAGTGCATCTTAAGCAGCTTACCCTCATACAACGGCCCCTCATACAGTCATACAGTAGGCTAGTAGGGGGCGGCCGCTGGCGCGGGGTGGGGAGGGGGGAGGGGCCCAGTTCCGTTTTAGGGGGTTGGGCACAACACCATAAATTCGAAACATTTAGACAGAACGCCCTCCTCGTGCTCAAGCAGTCTCCAACCTCGCGCAGCTGAAACAACCCAAACAACCATCCTGTGCTCAAGGTTGCTCATTGAAAGAGATTCTTCACGCCTATTGCCAACCCTGGCACGGTCACGCACAAGAACACAAGGTGCAAGCAGCAAATACAAATTGAATCAAATGGTTGACGTGTCGGGGTGATAAGGAACATCTCAAACTCATAGACGCCCCGCTTTGGATTCGTGTCAGCCTGGCTCCTCCGGTTGGGTAATTTCATTCGAGCTTGAGGGGCAGGTAGACGCACACACACACACACACACACACACACACACACACACACACACACACACACACACACACACACACACACACACACACACACCCACACACACACACACACACACACACACACACACACACACGCAAAAACACAGAAGCACACACACACACAGTTTATACATGTGTTTTACGTCTCCCAGTGCTATGGGCTCAGGTCCCCGGCCTTGGAGGTCAAGAAGCGCGCCTGAGATCCCCCCGCGTTGGTCTGGATGAACTTGGGCACCTCGGAGTTAGTCTCAAGACTCTTGGCCGGGGAGAGCCTCTGTTACATATGGGTCAAATTTGTAGCCTGTGTAACCTGTGTCCGAGTAAGACAAAGTAAAACGTAGATGCTTACATGGAGATCCACCGAGTGCAATCAAGACCATACCCCCCACGCCTGGGTGGCACACCGACCCGAAATACAAACTCCCGCTGCCATGTATTGAAAGACACGCAAACTGAACAGCCAAGATTTCTACGTTGCCAGTGCTGAGCTGGCTATGGTTGCACCTCTTTCCACCCAAGGGGCAGGAAATCGATCCGAGAGGATGTGCTTGGCATCCTCTGCAGGCGCCGTCAGCAGCGCCTGCTCGGATGCACCCTGACCCCATAGAAATCCGAAACCCTAGAGGGAAACGGGTCTTTCCACTTAAACCCGTATATGCAAAGTGGTTGCATTTTGAGGGGTTCTCCAAAAAACTTTTGGGGCGCTCCCTTTAAATGAGAGAGGAATTTGGAGGGTGTCGATTTGATAGATAAAGCAGGGAAACAGCGAGAGACATTGATGGTCGACCTTCAATAACTCGGCGGTTCCTGCCGAAATTCCGCTGGTCGACACCAAGACTAGCCACTGCTCCTCGCAGATACCTGGGTACTTCTGACTGATCAAAATTCGGCCCATTCCATCTTGCAAGAATAGCTTCCTGGTGGCATCCCGCTTCAAGGAAACCACACCGAGAAGCGGAGCCAACCTTCTTGTTGTGACGCTTGCTTCATCCTTGTATCCCACCAGCCCGCGAATTGTACCCACCATAAACAACAAGGAGGTGCCACCCCCCCCATCATGGAGTCGTTTGCTTACAGTGTTGCAACTCATCTAGGCTTCAGAGGGCGCGGCTTAGTGCGTGGGATTTGTGGTTTTGGGCTTTCAGTTTTGACTGAGGGTTCAAGGTCCGGATTCGAGTTTTAAGTTTGGTTGATGGTTTGGTCTAGGGGTTTCAACTTTGGTTCAGAGTGTGGGATTTTGGTTCAGAATCTTTGCAACACGCATGCAAGTAGACCGAGTTTCTTTTCAAGAGGGCTGTCTTCCACAACCGTGTCAGCTTCTATGAGTCTTGAAAACAAACCCGGGGGTGTAGGTTTTCTCCGGGTTCCGCGGGCCGAGAAGATAGATCTCGGTCTCGCCCATGGCGTCGGCATTGAATCGCCCGGGCGCCTTGAAATTGGCGTACTCCTCCTTCTCCTGGCGAGGGGCGCAGGAATCAGATGCACATCTTGGAGTGCTTGAAAATGGGGGGACCCACACATCGCAAATTTGGCTTCCCCCGAAAACCATGCCAAGAGGGGGTCCCTCGAAAAAAGAGAGAGACACCCCAATGACCAAATGGCAAGCGCTTTCACGCAGGCCTGGTAGCCGGCATCGTACCAAGCTTGGATCATCTCACCTTGGTACTTCACAGCTCCCCCCATGGAGCGTGTTACATAACCGGCCTAGCCTTTCAGAGTGGTGGCCGGCTTAGTCTTTCACCGCCCTCTTTCTAGTCAAAGGCTACAAGCCAATTGAAGAGGCGGAACAATTTTCATCCACGCGGCCGCGCCAAATCACCACATGGAAGAAGGCATCTAGCAGCAGGATCACGTTCGGCCTCAGAAAGACAATCTGCCAATCTGCCAACGGCCACAAGTTTGGATGATTGATTCATGCTGTGGATGGACAAAATTCTGCACCACTTTGAAACCATGGCAAACCATTGTTGGTTGGCATCTACAAGGGAATCATCATTCCAGGGGTCCTTAGGTGGTGCAGGATTTCGTCCATCCACGGTATCTCTGATATGTCTCACTAGGGTTAGTTCACCACAGCCGCTTACTGCGACTGCGCGGATGTTGCCTTGAATAGTGCTTGAAAAGGAGCTGGCCAAAAAGGGTGGGGTTGGGTGAGAGCATGACGGTCACAAATCATTTGCTGGACGGACCCCCTGTTGCAGCAAGCTTTGAGCACATGACAATGGCACGCAGGAGAAGGTCAGTAGGTGCAAGGCATTTGTGATGCCCAAAATAAGTGTCATTTCCCATGACATAGTGGTCAGTCAGCGCTGCAATCCTTCCCTATCCCTGAAACGCCCTGAATGTTTTTCCCAGATACTCTTGTGGCTGAGGTTGCTTTAGCCTATAGGAAAACAAGTGTCCCTCATGGTTGCGGGTGATGTCGCGTCTGTGGCTTATGCTGAACACTTGGCAACGAACCCTGCAAAGCCGCCGGACACATTGCCCCATCGCCCTTTTGCTTTTTACCGCACGAAGACCCGGCAGCGGCAGCAGCCAGCCGGCTCTCAGTTCCTGGCGCCGACAAAGCCATGGGAAGTTTTGCGGGGAATGCTTCAGAAGCAAGCCTAAGCCACCCGTTTGAGGGATCCCGTACAAGCCCATGTGGGCGAAAACGATTTGGACTTTATTGGAAAAAGACGGTCTGCACCAAATTGGAGCCAACGAGGCGGAGGGCCTCAAGTTTCATCACATCCACAAGTCAGCTACCCTGAAATGTGTCACTGCGGGCGCAAAGGCACACCGGCATGCCATACCCACAAACGGGCACTGCTGACACTTGCTGCCACCCTCAGAAGGTATCCACTAAGTTTTGTAACTGTGCCACCCTCAAATTCCCCACAAACAGCGGCATGTTCAGAAGTCCCGTTGTCAATTCCTTTGGATTGTCAATCCCTTTGGAGCTTCGCTGCGGGCTGAGGAGCTTGAGCTGGCCGGTGCGCGCTGCCACCACCCACTCCGTAAGCCAGTTGAGGTCATCGGGGTTCTCCCTGCGTCCCGATCCCCACTCGCACTAGAAAAGGGACTTGCAAGAGGAAGAAACACACCTTACTGGAGTTTGGTGGTGATTAGTTGCTTCTTTCGCTGGTGGTTGGTGAAACTAATGGTTTCTTCTGACGAGCAGCCAGGATGAACAAGACTGGACTTCTGGCTGGTCCAAGGAATTTGGTCACAAGGAATTCTTGCATGTCCTTTTGACAAGCTGCTTAAATACCGTGATGCTACAGAAGCTGAATCAGAATGAAATGTCGTGAGGCGCAAGCAGGTTCGGCATTTGTTGTTTGCTGTGTTTTCTGCGAGGCAGAACAGCTTCAGCCCTGCTCGGCTGTTTCAAGTCTCTGCCAAGGCAAAACACAACAACACGTACAATGAGATATGAGCCAACTGACGTCGTCTGCCAAATAAAGGCCCGTGATGCGTCGTGACGTGTGCTTCCGAGGGGCATGGGTCTTCCCAGACACGCAGAGAAATACTAAAAGAATCGGGTGCTGATGGCGCCAGGGCGCCATGTTTTCAAGTTTCGCCCAGAAGCAGTGAACGGGCATGGCTGATGCACTAAAAAAACAATGTCTAATGGTTCTGAAACCACACAAAACATTCAACCCATGCTTCAGGGCGACAGGCATTGTTTACAATCCTAATGATAGAAGCTTTGATGTCGGCTGCGCCCCCTCGGCCTTCCCCCTCGCCTCTTGGCCTTCTCCCAGTCCCCTGTGCGCGCCACGCCGTCCAAACACATGAAGGTGCCGTTGGGCAGACGGCCCTGGTCCTCCGGCCTCAGGTTGAAGTTTGGAATCAGCTTTCCCGTAGGTTTTCCTTTATAGCGCGTTGAATCCCTCCAAAAAGGCGTTCCCACCCGTTCAGAAGACTTGGCCGAGCTTGCTTGTTAGCCTGGACAAAAAAAATATATCTCCTCATACTGTAGATGCACAAAATCCTGCACCAGTTGGTAGGTGGTCATCCCAGTTTTCATAGGGCTTTATCCAGCCCAACTGATACAGGATTTTGTCCACCCAGAGTAGTGTTTTGCTTGATGGCCGTTTGACTCGTCACAGGCTGAAATAACCTTTTGGATCCATGTTTAGTCATGGCCCCAAAAGGTTCACCATTTTTCCCGGTCCTTTGGGCAACTGGAATGATTAAAACGCCACACATGGCTCCCAAATACCATGCAAATTTGTGTGTCAGTGTTTTTGTTTGTGCGCTTGTGTGTGCTTGATTGTGTGTGTGTGTGTGCGTTCTTGTGTGCTTGTGTGCTTGTGTGCTTGTGTGTGTGTTGTGGGTGTTGGACCGTGGCGCGCGGCGCGCGCGCACCAACCCCCCCCACCGCGCGCGCGCGCGCGGCGGCGGGCGGGCGGGCGGGCGGCGGGCCGGGCGGCGGGCGGGCAGGCGGGCAGGCGGCGCGCGGGCGGGCGGCCGGGCGGCGGGCGGGCGGGCGGGCGGCGGGCGGCGGGCGGGCGGGCGGGCGGGCGGCGGCGGGCGGGCGGGCGGGGGGCGGGCGGGCGCGCGGGCTGGCGGGCGGCGGGCGGCGGCGGGCGGGCGGGCGGCGGGCGGGCGGGCCGGTGCGGGCGCGGGCGGCGGCGCGGGCGGGCGGGCGGGCCGCGCGGGCGGGCGGCGCGGGCGGGCGGGCGGGCGGCCGGGCGGGCGGCGGTGCGGCGGGGGGCGGCGGCGGAGCGGCGGGCGGGCGGGCGGGCGGGCGGGGGCGGGCGGGCGGGGCGGGCGGGGGCGGCGGGGCGGGCGGGGCGGTCGGGGCGGGCGGGGGCGGGCGGGGCGGGCGGGGCAGGGCGGGCGGCGGCGGCGCGCGCGGGCGGGCGCGCGGCGGCGGGCGGGGCGGCGGCGGCGGGCGGGCGGGCGGGCGGGCGGGCGGGCAGGCGGGCGGGCGGGCGGGACGGGCGGGCGGCGGGCGGGCCGGGCGGGCGGCGGCGGGCGGGCGGCGGGCGGCGGCGGCGGGCGGGCGGCGGCGGGCGGGCGGCTGGCGGGCGGCGGCGGGCGGCGGGCGGGCGGCGGCGGCGCGGCGTGCGGGCGGCGGCGGCGGGCGGGCTGCGGCGGGCGGCGGGCGGCGGGCGGCGTGCGCGGCTGCGGGCGGGCGGCGGCGGGCGGGCGGCGGCTGCGGGCGGGCGGCGGGCGGCCGGCGGGCCGGGCGCGGGCGGGCTGGCGGGCGGGCGGGCGGCGGGCGGGCGGCGCGGGCGGGCGGGCGGGCGGCGGGCGGGCGGGCGGTGCGCGGGCGGGCCGGGCCGGGCGTGGCGGACGCGCGCTGGGCAGCGGCAGTGGGCGCGCGCGGGGGACGCGCGCGTGGGCGCTCGCGTGGCGCGCGCGTGGACGCGCGCGGGGGCGCGCGCAGTGGCGCGCGCGTGGGCGCGCGCGCGAGTGGGCGCGCGTCGTGGCGCGCGTGTGGGCCGCGCGTGTGGCGCGCGTGTTGGGGGCGTGCTGTGGCTAGCCGTGTGGCGTGCGTGTGGGGGCGTGCGTGTGGGCGAGCGTGTGGGCGTCGTGTGGGCGTGCGTGTGGGTCGTGCTGTGGGCGTGCGGTGGGCGTGCGGGGCGGCGTGTGGGCGGGCGTTGGGCGGGCGTGTGGGCGCGCGGGTGGCGTGTCTGCGTGTGGCGTGTCTGCTGTGGGCGTGTCGCGTGTTGGGCCGTGTCTGCGTGTGTGGCGTGTTTGCGTGTGTGCGTGCGGTGTGCCGTGCGTGCGTGCGTGCGTGCGTGGGTGCGTGGTGCGTGCGGCGTGCGTAGCGTGCGTGCGTGCGTGCGTGCATGCGAGCGTGCGTGCTGCGAGCGTGCGGCGCGCGTTGTGCGGAGTAGGCCGTGTGAGTCGCGCGCGCGCGCGCGCGCGCCGTGCGCGCGCGCTGCAGCGTGCGTGCGAGCGTGCTGCGTGCGTGCGTGCGTGCGTGCGTGCGTGCGTGCGTGCGTGCGTCGTGCGTGCGTGCGTTCGTGCGTGCGTGCTGCGTGCGTGCGAGCGTGCGTGCGTGCGTGCGTGCGTGCGTGCGTGCGTGGCGTGCGTGCGTCGTGCGTGCGTGCTGCGGCGTGCCGTGCGTGCGTGCGTGCGTGCGTGCGTGCGTGCGTGCGTGCCGTGCGTGCGATGCGTGCGGCGTGCGTGCGTGCGTGCGTGCGTGCGTGCGTGCGTGCGTGCGTGCGTGCTGCGTGCGTGCGTGCTTGGCGTGCGTGCGTGCGTGCGTGCGTGCGTGCGTTGCGTGCGTGCTCGTGCTGCGTGCGTGCGTGCGTGCGGCGTGCGAGCGTGCGTGCGTGCGTGCGTGCGTGCGTGCGTGCGAGCTGTGTCGTTGCGTGCGTGCGTGCGGGCGGGCGTGCGTGCGTGCGTGCGTGCGGCGGCGTGCGTGCGGGCTGCGTGCGT